AGCTCCCAGGCATTTTCTAGGAGGCTCAAAATCACTGATAAAGATCCAGTGAGGAAGAGAGCCACCTTACCCAAAGTCATAACAACCAGCTGCATTTTTCTCTTCTCTTTTGCCCTTCACGTACCAAAACTTTGCTTTCCCTCTTCCAGTTACCTTAAAAAAAATCCTCATATATATGAGCATATAAATGAGCAAAGGTAAACAAGTTCTGATTTAGGGAGCAGGGGAGGAGAGGAAGAGGTGGAAATAAAGAGGCAGAATTAAAACCCAAGGGAAGACCAGGCAAACTTTTCATCAGAAAGTCAAAAATACCTATCAAATCTATAGAACAAGTCCAGAACAGAAAAAGAATATAGATGGTAAAATTAGCATCCAGGAAAGTTAAAATCTGGGTAGGGTAAGGCATGGGACACTCTGAAACAAAGAAGAATTTATTCAAAAGTAGAAACTGGATGCTACAATAAGAATACTTGGCATTTATTGTGGTGATAACTGTAAGATCTTAAAGACCTACGTATTCATGGTCTGCATTACTAGACACAAATTCCCTAAATAATAATATAATGAGTCAGAGACAAGTATAAGGGAACAAGTTTTCCAAGTAAATGGTGTACAAGTATTTACATGCATACACATGTGTAGATTGTTAAAAAAACACATGTAGAAATATTTTAAGAGAACATAAAAAACGTGATGTATAGACCTGCCTTTGTGGTATGTTTTATCATATATCAATTAAAGCTAACTAGGATCATATCCTGTCCATAAGGTATAATCATCCCATTAGTATCTATTAGCATGCATTCTGGAGAGTACATAATAAATCTTAATTAATGATTATAACATTTACTATCACTGCTCCAAGTGATTGCACTATAAATCTGCAAAGCCAACAACAAAATAAATATAAATATATAGCTAACCTAGTAAAGAATCATCCCTTACCCACAGACTACTAAGAGTGGCAGAGTGTGGAATTTCTACTGCCCCAATTGTACCCTTGCCTCAGGCAATCTCTCTAGAGTCCATCTCTAGAATATAACCCATTGTTATATTAAGGAGTAGTTTAAGGACTAGCAGCATAGGGTTGACCTGGGAGTTTTTTAGAAGTGTGGAATCTCATTCACCACACTTACTGAATAGGTCATTCATATGTGTATCATTCTCCTACTTTATTATTTACTTATGACCTTTCCTCTCATTTTCTCACTCCTAATATATTTTTTTTTAATTCCAACTCTGTGTAATATATACCATTTCCTCAAAAAAAGGCAAAATAAAAATTGGAAATTATAAATGTGATAAATTAGTCAATTGATATTCTGTTTGATCTTTATTTTATTTAGATCCTCCAATTATTGAAGGAAATATGGAGGCAGCAAGAGCAGTGGATTTAATCCCATGGATGGAGTATGAGTTTCGTGTGGTAGCAACCAATACTTTGGGTATAGGAGAGCCCAGTATACCATCAAACAAAATTAAAACAGATGGAGCCGGTACGTAAAAGAAATGTTTTAGTTTTAAAAGGTTTATAATTGCAGTGCCTTTCCATACATAGTTGAAGGCAATAGGTAGTGTCTAATGTGTTGAAGTGATTCATCCAAAAAATACGGGGTGTGTGTGTGTGTGTATGTATGTATATATTTCACATGTGTGTATTCTATATCAACACAGAAAAAAAATCATAAAAAGAAGCATGAAGACTAATCCCACGTAGTTAAAGTACAGGAGTAGGCAAATAAAAATCACTGCATATTCTATAGAGATCATTTAACGCAGTTAGTGTTTAGAATATAAATTTAAGGTAAATTCTGAATCTTAATCGGGCAGATTTTTTATTAAACAGGTTCTATGATACATAATGTTTACACTTTTGAGTATAGGATTCTTCATTCATCTCTCAAAAGACATTTATAACTGAATGTGCATATGGATCAAGGATGTGGACAGTGAGGGTGAGGTGTTCAGGGAGTGAAAAGAATGCAATGAGGACTTCTCAAATATCAAATCTCTGTCACTTGGGGAATCAGCATGTTCAAGAAATAGTGATGATATATGCTCTGTGTGTGTGTGTGTGAGTGAGTGAGTGATTTGGGTGGAAATTTACAAAGCAGATTCATTTTACTCTCTCAACGGTTTATGCATGTTTGGTTTCATGGCCCTGATTACAATCCCAACAATAAAAATCTCTCTGCCCATCCCCCCCAGTGACAACCCTTTCCCTATGTCTTTATCATATCTAAATTCCTGTCTGTCAAGCTTTCACTCTATGCAAATGCTGCCCTTCTGATGTATCACAGTTGATTGGTCTAAAGGGTACATCTCCCTAGGGGAGGTGGGTGCACCTCCTTGGGGAAGGTGTTCTGCTTGTAGGCCTTCCTTCAGTTTGTCTGAGAGCTAATCCATGGAAGTGAGTCCAGTTCCAGGCCCACAGGGTAATCTGGGGCCATAGTCTCGGGGATTCTACCAGTCTCTGTCCAAATTCTGGTCAGTTGTGTGTTTTTGAATTTTATTACACATTTTTCCTCCCACTCTATCCAGGATCTCCAATTTTGATCCCTTTCCCAGTGGTTGACATTGATAGTCAGGCACCATCTAGTTTTTTTGGTCTTAGGGTTGTGAAAGCTGAGGTTCCTGTGATCCATCATACACTTGGACAAATTGCTTCTGTATTAATTTGATTTTCTTCACTCTTCTTTGCTCTAGATGAGGGGAGACCAATAACTGCATCTTGGATGATTGATTAAAGGCTTTTAAGACCCCAGTAGCTATTCACAAAGTAGGATGTAGAACAGGAGTTTTATGTACTTTGTTGTGACAGTTGAGCTTGATGTTCCCAGAAACCATGGTCCTGAGCCCACAGGCCTGGTGACTCAGTCTCTCAAGGTGCTTGGTTGTCACTGAGAAGCTACTCCAACTTTGTCCCCTGTTACTTCTTTAATATATATATTTTTTTCTGGTAGCATAGTGGCTAAGGCACTTGACTGCTAACCAAAAGGTTGGCAGTTCAAACCCACCAGCCACACTCCTTGGAAGGAAGATGGGGCAATCTACTTCCATAGTGATACTGCCTCGGAAACCCAAGGAGGGGTCGCTATGAGTCGGGTCCGACTCGACGGCACATAACAACAACATAACAACAATATTGTTTTATTATTTTTTTTTAAATTTCAGCTCTGTGTAATATATACCATTTTCTCCAAAAAAAGCAAAATAAGAATTGGAAATTATAAATGTGATAAATTAGTCAATTAACACTCTGTTTGATCTTTATTTTATTTTTATATAAAAATATTTTTGTAGCACAAATACACATGGAAGAATATCGTCAACTAAATCCATCTATGTATGATTGTGAGTATATTCCTGTTCATCCACCCACACCTGATCTCACCTATCTATTTACCCATAAACTAGTGTTTGTTACTGGTAATGCAGTATTGTGTATGTAATAGTATTTGCCTCTGTTGTCTATATCTTTTGTGCATGTTTCTGTGTTCTCCTTTTCCCTATTGTTACTGTGTTGGTCATACACTTTGGTTATATTATTTTTTCCTTCCCCCAAATCAATACATGACTCTTAACTAGTCAGAAAATTTCCCCTCCCATTCCCTTTCATCCCTGGTAACCAGCAAAGTAAATTTCCTTCCCTGTGTAAACCTTTCTTGACTTTTTATAATAATAGACTCATAATCTGTTTGTCCTTCTGCAGTTGACTTATTTCACTCATCATAATGTCCTCCAAATTCATCCCTGTTATGAGGTGATAGGGAGCTTTGGTGGCGTGGTGCCTAAGGCATGGGGTGATTCGTGGATTCTTCATTATTCTTTAATATTGCATAGTGTTCCATTGGGTGAATGTACCGTAGTTTGGTTATCCATTCATCTCTTGATGGACACTTAGGTTGTTGCCATCTCTTTGCTGTAATGAACTGTGCTATGATGAACATGGGTGTGCATGTGTCTATTCTTGTCCTGGATCTCACCTCTTTAGGGTATGCTTCTAGTGGTGGAATTGCTAGATCAAATGGTATTTCTATTTCCAACTTTTTAAGGAAACACCATACCATTTTCCACAGTGACTATACCATTTTACAGTCTCACCAGCAGTGTAGGAGAGTTCCAGTCTCTCAACACCCTTACTACTTGACTGCTAACCAGAAGGCTGGTGGTTCAAACCCACCAGCCACTCCTCGGAACGAAGGTTGGGCAATCTACTTCTGTAGTGATACCGTCTTGGAAACCCAAGGAGGGGTCGCTATGAGTCCGGGCCGACTTGACGGCAAATAACAACAACAACAATGGCTAATGATCATGAATATTTCCTCATGTGTTCGTAGGCTGCCTGTATATCTTCTTCAGCAAAGTGTCTGTTCATGTCCCTTGCCCATTTTTTAATTGAATTGTTTGTCCTTTTGATGTTGAGGTGTTAAAGTTTTCTATAAATTTTAGAGATAAATCCCTTGTCAGATATTTCATAGCCAAATATTTTTCCCAAATATTTTTTCTCTTTTTACTCCTTTGGAGAAGTTTTTCAACATACATAAGAATTTAATTATTGAAAGGTCTCAGTCATCTAGTTTCTCTTCTGCTGCTTGTGCATTTGGGTTATGCCATAAATTAGGGCCCATAGGTTTGCCCTTATTTTATGTTTGATGAATTTTATGGTTTTGTGTTTTACATTTAAGTCTTTGATCCATCTTGAGTTCATTTTTGTATATGATGTGAGGTAAGGATCTTGTTTCATTTTTCTGAAAATGGATATTCAGTTTTGTCAGCAGCATTTGTTAAAGAGACTCTCTCTCCCCCATTTAATGGGTTTTGGCCCATTGTCAAAGATCAGCTGTCTGTAGATGGATGGGTCTATTTCTGGAGTCTCAATTCTGTTCCTCTGGTCTATTTTTCTATCATTATACCAACACCATGCTGTTTTCATTACTGTGACTGTATAGTAGGTTTCGAAATCAGGGAGTGTGAGACCTCTTACTTTGTTTTTCTTCTTCAGCAGTGTTTTGCTTATCCATGGTCTCTTTTCTTTCCATATGAAGTTAAACCAAAAACACCAAACTCACTGCCATTGAGTCAGTTCCAACTCATAGCAACCCCTCCTTGGGTTTCCAAGACAGTATCTCTATGGAAGTAGATTGCCCAGTCTTCCTTCTGAGGATGGGCTGATGGCTTTGAACACCAGTCTTCTGGTTAGCAGTCAAATGCTTAGGCACTACACCACCATAGTTTGTCCATGTCCTTAAAGAATGCTGATGGAATCTGGATCAGGATTGCATTGAATGCATAGATTGCTTTGAGTAGAATTTGAGTATTATTGGCATTTTCATAATATTCAGTCTTCCAGTCCATGAATATGGCATGTATTTCCATTTATGTAGGCCTCTTGTAGTAGTGTTTTCTTTGTATAGGTCTTTTATATCTCTCATAAGATTTATTCCTGAGTATTTTACCTTTTTGGTAGCTATTGTAAATGGTAAATGGTAGGAGTTCTGTTAGTGTAGTGCCTAAGGCACTTGACTGCTAACCAGAAGGCTGGTGGTTCAAATCCACCGGCCACTACTTGGAAGGATGATGGGGCAATCTACTTCCATAGTGATACTGCCTCAGAAACCCAAGGAGGGGTCACTATGAGTCGGGTCCAACTCGACGGCACATAAAAACAACAGCAACATTTCTAAATGGTTTTATTCTCCTTATTTCCTTTTCAGAGATCTCTTTGTTGATGTAGAGGAATCCAACTGATTTTTGTATGTTGATCTTGTATCCTGCCACTTTGCTCAACCTTTCTATTAGTTCCAGTAGTTTTCTTGCTGAGTCTCTCAGGTTTCTATGTGTAGGATCATGTCATCTGCAAATAGAGATAGCTTTACTTCTTCTTTGCCAATTTGAATACCTTTTATTTCTCATTCTTGCCTCATTGCCCTGGCTAGATCTTTCAATACAATGTTACACAGAAGTAGCAAGAAAGGACATCCTTGTCTGAATCATATTTGCAAGTAGAATGAATGCTTTGAGTCTTTCTCCATTGAAAATAATGTTGGCTATTGGTTTTGCTTATATGCCCTTCATTATGTTGAGAAATTTTCCTTGTATTCCTGTTTTGCTGAGACTTTTGATCAGGAATCAGTGTTTGATTTTATCAACTGCCTTTTCTCCATCAATTGATATATGATCATGTGGTTCTTTTCCTTTATTTTATTTATGTAATGGATTACATTGATTGTTTTTCTGATGTTGAACCATCCTTGCATATTGCATACCTGGTATGAATCCCACTTGGTCATGGTATGTATGTATGTATATGTATATATATATATATGTATATATGTATATATATGTGTGTGTGTGCATATATATACATATATATATATATATATATATATAAATATATATATACATATACATATATATTGATATGATGTTGGATTCTGTTAGCTAGAATTTTGTTGAAGATTTTTACCACTATATTCATGAGGGATATTGGTCT